TGTGTGTGTGTGTGTGTATGTGTGCGTGTGCGTGTGCGTGTGCGTGTGCGTGTGCGTGTGCGTGTGCGTATGCGTGTGTGTGCGTGCGTGCGTGCGTGCGTGTGTGTGGTTGTTTGACGCTGTATGCGCTTAACCCGACCACACAGTACGACGCTAAGATGTATTCTGTCACACAAATGCGACAACTACAAACATAAATTTCCCATTTTAAAATTATCCCAGATTAACCATATGCTACCACGAGAATATCATAGAAATTTTCACGCAATTACGTTTCATGTGTATGTGAAGCCCGTGCAAAAATAGTACCCATTTATTGCAGAGAAATGCTACATGAAGACAAGCAGGTTTTGCGACAATCACTAACTAGAAGAGGAAACGTTTGATTTCGGGCTGTAGGATTGGACCAGTTTATTTATCTTATTGGGGACAGGGAAATACCGGATAAAAGTTTTCGTAACCCGGGAATAGAAGTCGCGACTCGGTAAAGCCTAAATTCCATGGACTGATAAATGGTATATCTTTACATGGTAACTAAACTAACCGGGCGGATCCCCCGTTCCTCTCTATATAATAAAAACGTGGTCGCGTGTTTTACTAGACATATTATTTCCAGTGAAATATGAACGTTTCCCCCATTCTTTTGAAACAATGCTTTTAGACTTTTGGACAAGAGTTCGTGGCATAAACTACATAGCATCATGCGAAAAAAAATTGCCTTTGATATCTGATCATCATAGCAGTTTCGCTTTATTGACACCGCTTAAAACGTGGTGTTGATTTGGCAGCATAGTGAGAACCGAGCATCATTGTAGAGTTTTAAACTGAATTTATTACGGGTTTTTATGTTGTTAAATATTTGAAAAATTTACCAATATTACTTGTGGTGATAAACCCGACAGAATTGACTGAAAATTGGGTCGTGGTCGTTTGTTGCCCCTGGATATAAAGGTGCTCTAATTTAAGAACACGCTCTCTGTGTTGCTGCGCTGGTAGTTCTATATATTGGGAAATAGGCCCCTATCTTAAATTTCAGCTATAATTTTTATCTTTCACGAATATGTCTGATATTGCATATTAGACCATTCCATATTCATTACTAATGAGCCCATGCATTCTATTATATAGGAGCGCGCGCATCTAAAGACTACGCCAGTACACGTTTCTATTTCGCATCGTTTAATGTCCACGCATTCCAGAGAGTTTCTGATAACGCGTTTTCATTATTTAGAGAGGAACGGGAGATCCACTCCGGTTAATTTACCATGTAAAATTATTCGCACAATATTCTTTTGCGCGATGGCGGCATACCAAAGGGATTCAATTATCGTAACACAGTGTAACGCTTATATGTTGACCCACTAACAGGATTTCGATCCTTCAATGGTTCCGTGTGGTTAGGTGCCCGGGAAATACCCGCCAAATAGTATAAATAGCGAGACTAGAGCATATTGTTTCTGTTGCGCAAACGATGGATAACTCACGAGTTGCGCGGACGTCCGTGCTGCTGCTCTTGCTACTACTGCGTTGGTTAGACACGGTGGCGGCAGTCGACTTCTCCGTCTCCGCAACCAGCTCGATTTCGCATCTGTTGGTCACGATTCTGCGATGCACGGTGAGTAACAACCGACGTATACACGTACCAGCAGCACTCATAAGCGGTATCAAGTCCGATCACATCCAATCACGGTACATACCGTTAGTTTGTTTTCCGATTTGACGTTACAAATAGGAAATGGGTTTCTGACCTATTTCCTATTTTTAAAATGAAAATAGAAAATAGGAAATGGGTTTCTGACCTATTTCCTATTTTTAAAATGAAAATAGAAAATAGGAAATGTATATATAGTGTATATATGTATATATGTATATATGTATAAATGTATATATGTATAAGTAGTGAATATAGGAAATGTGAAAATAGGATCAGAAACCCATTTCCTATTTTTTATTTTCATTTTAAAAATAGGAAATAGGTCAAAAACCCATTTCATCTTTGCAACGTCAAATGGGAAAGCAAACTAACGGTATGTACCGTAATTAAATCCTATCAGATGATTAACATGACGAGATGGGGCGTGCAACGAGAGAAAATGAGTTCAGATTATTGAATCAGAGTGTCAGCTAAGAAGGCTTAAGCTGGGTTTACACTATGGAAAAGTCGACGCGTTAATAGTTTTTTCAACGTTCTATCAACCCTTTTGTCAGGGGTTCAAAGTTTTTACGTTATCGACCGCGAATCGGCAAACGTTTCAAAATTTGACCCGCAGTGTGCGCGCGGGGTGACGTGGGTACGCATTTTTCACGTATTAATTCTCGCCAGTGTGGCGCCGATAGCAAAATCGTGCTATCTCCCTGGGTGGATGGACACACCTGTATGGTGGCCGAGGGCTGCCACTACAATTTTACCTCTGAAATAAATAAAAGCAAATAAAAAAAACGAAATCAAAATCAAAATCAAATTCAAAACGAAATCAAAATCGAAATCAAAATCAAAATCAAAATCAAAATCAAAATCAAATTCAAAATCAAAACGAAATCAAAATCGAAATCAAAATCAAATTCAAAATCAAAACGAAATCAAAATCAAAATCAAAACAAAATCGAAATAAATGCAAATCAGAAAAGTAAGTGAAATGAGTTTCGCGTTGGCCGAGAGCTGCCAAAGTGAAATCAGTTTTCGCGTTGGCCGAGAGCTGCCAAAGTGAAATCAGTTTACGGCGTTGGCCGAGAGCTGCCAAAGTGAAATCAGTTTACGCGTTGGCCGAGAGACTGGCCACTGCCATAATTCATTGCGATCCAGGCTATCCCACAATGCTTGCTATTACCGGTCGTGTATCCGTGTACATGCGCGTGTATCTGTGTGTACCCGCGTGCACACGCGTGTACGTGCGTGTACCCGCGTGCACGTACGTGTACCCGCTTGTAACCGTGCGTGTATCTGCGTGTACGTGGCGTGTACCCGCGTGTATCGCGCGTCGTAAGCGTGCTTACCCGCGGTGTACGTGCGTGTACCCGCGTGTACGTGCGTGGTATCCTGCGCTGTATCGCTGCGTGTGATTTGCGTGTACGGGCGTGTACCCGTGTGTATGTGCGTGTAAGTTGC